CCTGGACTGACAAAAAAAGTTGGTGCTAGATCAAAGCAAGCCAGAACTTTCCCTAAAAGCAAAAATGACAAAACAGAAGCTGCCATACTTTGGATGCATCATGGGAAGGCAAGAATCCCTGGAGAAGACCATCATGTTGGGGAAAGAAGAGGGAAGAAGATGAAAGGGAAGGCCAGCAATGAGATGGATGGTTTCCATCAAGGAAGCCAGAGCTGAATGGAGCTGTCATGGACAGGACCTTCTGGAGGGCTTTCATTCATGGGTCACCAAAAGTTAAAGACAACTTGGTGGCACGCAACAATAACAATGACAATACTATCTTAGGGCACAATCTAACTGGGATGTCAAGGGACTGAGGGTCACCTGTGGAGGACTAGATGGAAGCAAACGTCACGTCTTTGCACCTGCCAACCTGCAACTCAATTAATTGGCCGGCTTCAGGCATCTTACAATGCCACTTGGAAGCAGGAGGGAAGAAGGTTGAGGGGCTGCTTGGCTACCCAATATCTAGGCTGTACCTTCCACTCCCTGCTCCTTGGAACACCCCTTAAATCCCTTCTCTGAAGTAAGTCCTGCAAATACAGAGGCAAAGCCTGCGTGGTTCTTTCTGGGCTGGCTATGGAGGGTTGCAGGGTTCTCCAGATGCCTCGTAACTGGTTGTCAAATGGATCTGATGGCCATCTAAACAACTGGTGGGTCATAGAACTGCATGACACAGTGCACTTGCATGGTGTTGATACGCAGCTAAGATACAGACAATTCAAGTCTATCTATAAATAGCCGTCTTGAGTGTGACAACAGAGACATTCTCAGCATCTGGAAAACCACATCTCTGGGACTAAGACATAGACAGGAAATAGGATCCTGTCAGGATAAGAGGAGCTCTGCTTAATTAAATGTACTATCCACACATTTTGTCTCCTACACCCAAGCACCACTGAAGGAAACCCCACCATGAAAGTATGAGATTTCAACACCAAAATTTCCCCTGCACAGCTTGGCCTCCCTCTGGCTGGTTGATGCTGCAATTGGATCTTTCCTGGATCAGAAAGCACAATCATTCTCTGCTCCTTCCTGCCCTCCAGCCTGTTCAGTGTTCAGATTTAAACAGAATTCTGGCTGAGTTTTAATACTAAAGTCTGTCTCTTGCTTCCTGAATGCAGCATTTCACACCGCACCTACTGTTGCTTGAAAGAAGCAAGTGGGAATGATCGCCGCAGTCCCGAGTCAGCCAGCAGGGGTCAGTGCATCCCAGGAAGAAGTGCGCTGTCCGGCTGAGGGAGGGAGCAGGGAAACAGCTGCACGACTCTCAAGATGATGTAAAGCGAAATAAAACAGTGAGCGAGCAAGCCCTGCGACGCCTGCAGTGCTCAGAGATCGGCCGCTGTGATACACAATTATGCGATCTTGAAACAATTATGTGCTTGTTATTCAGGGTCAGTGACTCAAATGAAAACCCTCTAATTACAGCATTTAAAAGAAAAGCTCGACCAAACCGCAGTTCCCTTATCGAAGCAGTTCCTTATCAAAGCGTGGAACTGTGACTCCCAAGAGAGAGCATTATTATTTTGAATCCCAGAGGCCCACGACAAGGACTGCTTCCCATGTTACAGTGCGATGAGATAGGATTTCACCTGCGATTTTTCTTTTCTCAGAAAATTCAAAGGGAAAACAAAGGATGTGAAACTGGCAAGAGGAGAGGAGAGGAGAGGAGAGGAGAGGAGAGGAGAGATATTTTGTAAGCAGCTGTTTGGGACAATGGTGGAATCACAGAATCATAGAATAGTAGAGTTGGAAGGGGCCAAGAAGGCCATCGAGTCCCTCCCCTGCTGTTGCAGGACACCAAGCCACACCATCGCACTCAGATGGCTGTCCAGGTTCTCCTTGAATGTCTCTAGTGTGGGAGAGCCCACTCGGGGGAACATGACAGTTGCATCTTGCTCCATGTAGGGCTGACTTGGAAACCTATCTGGCAACTTCACTTGGCAGAGAACGCTGTGGGAAATCCAGTTATGCCCTGAAATAATTCCATCATATGGGCTGCTTGCTACTGCACCAAGGAGAGACCTAGCTGAGCAAGCGAGGAGGGCCCTCAGCCAAGCAAGCATGCCCGGCCAAGAGGCCCATGGGCTTGATCCTCCTCTCTGCCTCATAGCCTTTTGCTCTGGCCCAGATAGTGGCATGGTGAGGAGGAGGAGTGCTTAGTGCCACTGCCTACCTGCTCAGTGCATCTCAGCCTGTCAGGTGGGCCATGATGACCAGGAGGAGGAGAAATAGCAGCTGGTGGCAACTACAGTAAAAGGCAGGTGACTAAGGGGAATTGCTTGGAGGGACCCTGCTCAAGGGCCCATAGAAACCTGGAGCCAGCACTGGCTTCTCCTACACAGAAAGGTGTCTGGCCTTGGAAGCAGGATTCTGTAGAAGCCTAAAGCTGCCAGCAGCCTGTGCCCAGGCTGCCTAAATGTTTAATACCACTCCATGAGCTTCCCACCAATATCCACCTCCAAGATGTTGGAAAGCGCTTTCTCTGCAGTGAGACCAAGGCATTAGAGCATCTTCCAAGGGAGATCCCCAACGACTCTCTCCTTTTCATGGCCTTCCATTCCCATGTGAGTGAACTTCTGCTTATTATGCTGAAGGTCACCCAGGGGGAGCATGTGTAGAGAAGACAGTCTTCCATTTGAAGGGATGCCAGCTCTAGTGGAAGGGCTGCCCTGCCCCATTCCAGATTAACAATAAAGTAGTATAAAAATGCTCACTTGCCGGTGGTTAGCACCTGAACCTCCATGCCCACAGGTCCTCTACTCACAGCCTCTCCAACTGTGGTACAATATGCAGTATTTGTATTATTTGTGCTTGTAGGAGAACAGTGATTCCTAAATTTGTATCTAAACATAAATATTACCTCATGTGCTATCAGTACAAATCGTTATCTTCTCCCACCCCCTCAATTGCCATTACTAATAAGCGGACAGCCTACATCTTTAGCACAGTAGAAAACAGAAATATGTAGGAAGTTTTTCCGGGCAATGCTCACATGTGGCACTGCACATGAAGGGTTTAAGCACTGGAGACATGTAGCTCTCGCCATAACTTGAAAGGATGGATTGGTCTTCTATACTTTTGGCAGTTCAAAACATGAAAAGCAGCAGAACATGGATGAACAGATCCCATCCATCCTTTCTGCAATGACAGAAGCGATCTACAAATCATTGCCAGGGCTTTAGGCCGGGCACCCTGGTGCCAGCACACTTACGCTCCTGCCTTGCTTGACTACCACGGCTTATGGCACCTTCTGCCAAGAGGGCAGTTCTTTCTCTGCCGAGTGCAGTATCCTGACATTGCCTAGAGACATAGCATTATTTGGAGCCCCAGCTCTGAGATGGCAAGAACTTGGAGATGGGACTTTAAGCAATCCTATGGCCCCCTAGATGGGACCAGGAGGCCACTCTAAATCCTCCCTACTGCTTTTACTCACGATGTGCAAGAAGAGGATAACTCTTGCAGTGGCACATTTCTGAAGACACTGGGAGAATGTTTCTCTGAGAGACCAGTGGTCTGTTCTGCAAGCATTTGATAATATTGCTCTGGCAACAGTGAAATACCAGGCAAAATGTTATGATGTCCATGTTGTAGACTGCAAATTGGGTTTCTTTGTGATTTCTGGCATTTTAATGTTTGTCATACTTAAATTGCTCACATTCTTTTGTATCTCTTTCATCATTTTCATGATGGCCTCTGACTAAGACAAATGCAAGTGAAACTGGCATATAGTGACTGAACTATCTGACATTTCAATTGGCCAAATTCAGTATTCTATTTATTATTCCTAATATTAATAGTAAAGGTAATGGTAATACTAATATTGAGAATTCACTGCAACATTCAGAGCTGTCAGTTTCAGTGGGTGACTGAGTTCTAGTGTGTGCTTTGGTGAGAAAGTACAACCATTGGTTATGTTCATATGAAATGCAAATGGAAAACATTTTTCCCCATTCTCACTAAGGGAAAACAGGGATCAAGTTATGAAACCCGCAGGAACGGGAAACTTATTTTGCTGTTTTAATCAGGTGGAAGATTGTATTCCTGGGGAGAGGTAGAAGTGTTTAGTCAGTTGGCAACCCATTTTCCTGCTCAGAAAGAATTTCTGGAGAATTTCAAAGGAGAAACAAAGAATTCCATTAGCAAAACATTCTTTAAAAAAATCCATCCATCCCTTGAAAGCAGAAGAAAGTTTCTTCCAGTGCAAAACAAGCACCCACACCTGATGTCAGAACAAAAGAAAAGGCCAACAGTGTCAGGTAATAATTCATCTAGAAAGAGAGTGAGAACAGGCCTACATTGCAGATACAGCTGAATGCTCCACAGATTCAAAACCTCTTTGAGTTTTGAAGAGAAGCTCAGTTCTTTTGCCAGGGGGAAAAGGGAGGGTGAGGGGATAAAAACAGCAGCAGCACCTGGCAGAAACACAGCTCTGCAGGGATGCCAATTCCGTCACTCAGACATTGACCGAATATGGCAAGGAAGCACACCTTTTCTGCTGGCGCTTCCATGCCAAAAATCCTAGTTTTCTTGTTGAAAGGTGGTCTCAGGAGCTTTCTGCTGGGGTGAAGGCCAATCAAACACAACACACTGCCTGGAAATCAGATCACTTTACCCATTTTGCACAGAAACAAGAGGGATTTTGATCAGATACAGCATTTGATATTCAGGTAAAACTTCACACTTGCTATTGGCTTGTTTTCAAGGTAAACTAATTAATCACTCGGGTATTTTTAAAGCACTGACTAGGACTGCCAAGATGCAAGCTCAAGTCTTTGTTCAGGGACAAAGCTCACCAAGAAGCCAGACAACATTTTTCAGGCTACCATATCCCATAGAATTGTCCAGAAGATAATGACAGGAGGAAGCATATGTGCCATCCTACAAGTTTGCCTTGCGGAAAAGTCTGGGTAAAAGCAAAATAACAAAACAAAGCAGTAAATAAAGTGTAACTATACCTTTTCTCCTTTCCCTCCATGGCCAAAGGCTGCACCACCCTATTGGAGACAACAAACCCATCATTAGCTATGTTTTGACACATTCTAAGGTCCAAAACACACACAAGTGCATGCACGTGAACACACCCCAGAATGGAAATTGTTAATTTAGGGCACAATCCAGTAGGGATGCCTGTAGGTCTCTGAACTCAGAAGATTAGAGGCATCCTATGAAAGGTGGGAAGGACATGAAAGCAAGGATTACCTTTGCATTCCTTGCGCCAGCATCTCAACTAGGATGGCCAACTGGCTGTTTAACTGAGGCACTTTTGGAGTTTGAGGCACTGCCAGGATACCTCATATCTTGGCAGCACCTAATTCCTCCTCTTCCCAGTGCCAGGACACCCTATAAATCCTCCTCTGTGGGCACTCTTGAACCTTTTGAGATGCAGCTGGTATAGAAACATTGAACATAGAAACAGAGTGAATCAGAAGGGTCCTCCCGGGTCATCTAGTCTGACCCCCGGCTCCAGCCGGCTCCGCTCACAACATGCCCACCATGTGCATGTCCAGCCTATGTTTGAACACCCGCACCGATGGGGCCTCAACCACCTCCTGAGGAAGCCCATTCCACACCCAGGTTCTTTCTGTTTCTCTGCAATGGCAGGGAAGGGTGCTGTGAGCACCAAGTGACAGATACAAGGTCAAAGCCATTTTCCAACCTTGTCACTGGTCTCCAAAACAATCCAGTGACCAGCTATGCTGTCTATTGGCCATGGGCTTATACTCTCCCTGTCCAGGTAGACCAATGGAAAAGAAAGGGGTGTGGCTTAAGGACCCTATAACTGGAGCCACCAGAGATACAAAAAGAAAGCAAAACAAGTCCTTTTGAAGATATTGAATTGCTCCTCTGACCCAGAACGACAAAATGACTGATGAGGTTGCATAGACAACCAGATGCCATTGTCCTCTCTTAGGATCATATCAAACTGGAAGGAACCCGGAGCACCTTTGGGGGAAACTTTCTGAAAGTCCTGCACCGTCCCCACCCAATCACATCAGTGTGAAGACAACTGTCCCATGTTCAAATGGATCCTGGAAAAGTTGCCATATAGATGCAGCACTGAACATAGGAAGTTTCTTCAGTTTCTTTTAATCCATAAACAGTAGAGCAGCCTTCCCCAACCGTGTGCCTTCCAGATGTGTTTGGATTGCAACGTCCAGAATTCCCAGCCAATGGCCCTGCTGGATGGAAATTATGCGCGTTGTGGTCCAAATGCCTCTGAAGGCCACCAGCTTGGAGAAGGCTGCAGTAGAGGACTGGATGAGATCACCTGATGGCCTTGCAGAGTTTGGAGCAGCAGTGCTGAAGAAGAGATATACATTGATATAATCCTAAGAAGCATCTGTATCCATCTTTCCTCTGAGATGTTTGACAAATGATCAGACGTATGGCATTTAGCAGCTCCAAGTCAGAATTCCTGTTGTAGGATTGCAGTTGAGCAAAGGTTTCTCCAAATATATGAACTGGAGCTACTCTGGGTTCTCAAGAGCACATGCTTCCATTAGGATAACTCAAAGTGACTGGCTTCTGGCATAGTTTCTTACCGGTTCTCCCTTTGGGCCAGGAAGTCCTATTGGTCCAATTTCCCCCTTAACAAAAGGAAATAATGTTAGCTCTGGTGTATAGAATGCAATGATTCCCTGCTCCCCCTGGATTTTAGTAGACCAACTAGGCAATGTGATCAGCACATGTTTCTGAATTATATTCTTCCCTCTCCAGCACTGGACTTCAAGAAACAAAATGAAACAGAGATCTCATTTACACAGCTTAGAAGGTATTTGCTTCCCTTGGTTGAACAGATTGCAAAAATAGAGAATACGCAAGCAGAGAATACCAGAGGGAGCAGTTTTATAGTTATCCCCATGGGGATTCATTCATGTGCTCGGCAAAGCTACTCAGCTGCTGCTAGAAAGAACGACAACTGCTCCCACTGTTGTCCAGTCTGTTTCTTCACATGGCATGGGTTGTCCCCATGGGTTGATCCATGCTATGTGAAGATGCTTGACCAGTGCAGGGATAAGCTTTCTCCCCTCTCCACTATCAGTTAAGGCCAGGGATTCGAGACTTGTAGAAATCCTGCAAAGCCCCACTCAGGCCTGTAACAGATTGCAAGCTTTGTGCTAGTTCCCCCTTCATTTCATGGGAAAATCTGCATGCATTTTTGACCAACAAGTACATAGAATGCATAATATAATGCAGATATATTTCTGTTCTTCCCAACACACAATACTGAAATCCCAAATTCAGTGGTAATATCTAAGATCACTTATGAATGTATCTAGATATTTTTGTTTTCTCCAGTTTAAAGAGCATAGAAAACAGCAAGAGAAACAAAAAGAAGCTTTTTGTTCCTCTGAAAATACTAACCTTCTGGCCTTTTAAACCTTCAAACCCAGGAGGGCCTCTCTCACCCTGAAATGAGAGATAAAGAAAAATTAATGGACACAAGTGATCATGGCTTCTGTCACATGTAAAATCTCATCTTACATCACTTATAAAATGGTTCTTCAAGAAGGGTTGGATTATGCCATCCAAGTGGAGCCTCATTATAAGCCATGCAGTGGTAGCACTTTCAAGTTCTCCATCCACTTTGAAGAAGAGTCAGGCTGCACCCGACTCCATTAATCTGTCTGCACCTCCTACTGCCTTTCCTAACCTGGTACCAGAATTTCTGGACTTCAGCTGAAAACTTGTAAACTCTTTGGGGCATGGACATGCCTTTCCCTGTCTATGCTGTCAAACACCAAGACTTTCTTGGTATCTTGTGTGCTATATCAACCAACATCCTATCAAGGAAGCACCTGTGATGAATTGCTAGGGATGCTTAGATATAAGCCCCATGTGAAGGCAAAGAATGTTTCCTCTTCCTCTTCCTCCTTCTCCACAACTGCTTTCCACACAAGCTGTTAAGGTAAAGGGAGGGCACTCCAAATGTGGAGCCCCAGCTCCAATCTCAGAGCACAGTTCTGAGGTCAGAGCTGGGATTCCATCTTTCCTGTGGCCATCTAGACTGTGTAGCCCCAAGAAGTATGCAGCCTTAAGAAGTCACATAGCTGTCATGCAATATATATTACCCTACATCAAAAGTTCCAAGGAAGGAAGGGAAGTTCCCTTTTCCTGAAATGAAGCTATTGCAATTTTTTGAGTGCCAGAAACACAGTAAAAACCAAAAACCAATAAAAAGTAATTCTACAATATGTTGACTAATTAAGAATTATGCTGTTTCTGAATAGATGCGCATAACACTAGTCTACTAATAAATAATTTTAACGTCTACCTTGAAAGAAGCAGAAGAGTGTGGAGATCTTTTGGAAACTTGTGCAAGGCAAAGTCCACCCCCCACCCCCGTTTTCCTCCAGTTCTACATGTCTGGCATTTGAATTGCAAGGTGCGGCATTCAACTTGAATATCTCTCTTTCTTCAAGCAATAGCACAGCATCTTTTCCTATACCTGAAGGCCGCAGTACAGATTGTTTTATCATTACTAGTACCAGTAGACAATACTCCATTAAAAATGTGGCTTCTAAGCTCTTCCCCACAACTGAATGAAGCACTTACCTTTTCTCCAGGTGGGCAGGAACAATTGACTGTCTTGATGTGTCCCACCTGTTCACTTGCAGGAGTGGGAGCTATTTCCGGGAGTGGAGCCTCTGTAATGACTGTCACTTGGCACTGTGTCCAGAACAGATAGGGGCCATACATATTAGAATGCAAGATGTGTTTTTATTTTGTCATTCGTTTGTTGTTTATTAATTATACTTTCAACCTTTCCAATAACAGAATAGTTACCGTAACTATTTGTACTTATCTAGCCTTGATACTCATAGGGCAGAATCCAAGGCCGCTTGCTTACAATGCATGTAAATCTTCAAATTCAGGGATTTCTGTGCATTCAAGGCATGAAGGGGGCTGGATGGAGGTCATTCCCGCTGCTGTTGCATCTCATGTCATTCCTTCATTCCAAATGGCCCCTTGATTTTGCACTTGGGGCTTGGAGAAGAAGAGGCTGGGGCACTGAGGGCAACAGCGTAAGGCAATGGCCACAGCCCCTCCCTGCACTGTGGGAAACCCCTTTTGGTGCTTTCCCAGTTGCATCCACGGGATGCCTGCGTGGTTCTTCCCAAACAAGGGAGCCCATGTGGCTCTTTCCAAACTGACTGTAAGGGAGCTGAGGTTTGTCTTTAGGAGTCCCAGTTCCAAGGTTGCAGGTCCTCAGCACTGGGGCACTGAAAAAAAACAGTTGGGAGGTCACTGAGGCCCCATCGGCGAGGGTGTTCAAGGATTGGCCAGACATGCACATGGCGGGCATGTCGTGAGCAGAGCCGGCTGGAGCCGGGGGTCAGACTAGATGGGCCCAGGAGGCCCATTCTGACTCACTCTGTTTCTATAACATTGTGCCCATCTTTTTCACTAATGTTTTAAACACACACACACACACACAAAACCCCTGAAGTCACCATTCTGTGATCCCCCCCCCCCCCCCGTGAAACAAAAATCCCAGGAGAAAACAATGGGACCAACAAGGATTTTTTTAAAGTGAATATTCGCACAACTGCTCTTCTCCTCTCTGCTCTGCTCTGCTTTTGTCCAGTTAACACATTTACTGAGATGGCTGTTCCACCTAAAATTGTAAATATTTAGAGAATATGTGGCACAGTTTAAGCTCATTCCAAACTCATCCTAAACAAGGTCTCCACAATGTAGCACCACCACCATTACTCATTACATTATTTTTTAAAATATCAAAATAAAATTTACAGCACCATTCTCCTTAAATGTATCCTGTTGGCAATTAATGTGAGCATCTGGTAGAGATCATTATGCAAGTCTCTGTTCCGGATAGATTTCACTGAGTCATTGCTGTATATGTGTGCATGCACTCACGTGTGTGTGTGTGTGTGTGTGTGTGTGTGTGTGCGCAAGCGCTAAGATGCAGGTATACAATGAAACTTACGGGTCCAGTTGGGAGATCACAGCAAGTTTCCAGCTCTGCATGTCGTGAATCACAGTATATAACCATCCGCTGAAGGTCAAACTGTGAAAAGAAGGAAATCATTCAAGTCACCTCTGAGAGAAAGCGATCTTTACACCAAATAAAGATGGGATGGTGTGACTTGGTGACCTGCACCAGCAGCGCGTTGGACCCGAAGGTCTTCATGGCCCCTTCCAGCTCTACTCTTCTGTGACTCTATGATTTGAGTGTGAACAAGATAGAGGACTACAAGACAGTCATCTTAATGATGTGTGATGGAAGATACTTTACATTACGTTTAGCCTATACACAAGGTATCTCTCCACACACAGACACATAAGAGAGAATGTGCTTAAGAACGGACAACAAAAGTGTTTTGGTCATGTTTTGATGAGAACTTTCCACAATTCCAAAACTAGGCCAAACCAAGGAAAGCTATGTTATTATATTTTCATTTTCTGATTTTGCAAAGCTCTTGTTCCAAGCAGTTATTTTAACAGATATGTTTTGTTTTAATACTGTGGTTATTACTATTGCTGCCACACTGGTCATATTATAGTTACTCTGGGTTGTTGATCCCATTGTATTGGTTTTTTATTATTTATTATTTTAATCAATTATTATTATTATTTTATTGGTTGTTTATATGATTTTGGGAAATTTAGGATCAATGTCAAAGAAGACAATGTGACATTGGACTGTACGTGGAAGCAGAAATACCATACAAAAGGAGAACATCAAAGAGTAAGGATCATAGAACACTGCCCTCCACTTCTTCGAAATCTGTGTCAACATATTAAAAACAACAATGCATGCAATTTTTTGCCACATTGTAAAATACCCCTCTTGTTTATATATTTATGCTTTTAAACTATTCTGGCTTTGGTGTGCCACTTTGCCTGGATAGTTTTCTTGAGTCTGAGATTTCTGGATTTCTTTTCTTTCTTTGAGAAAGTCTGTTTCTCAAAATGCAAACTGCATTTGTTTGTTTGTTTGTTTATTAACAATTTTTGTATCCCCCCCCCTTGCAGTGTCTCTTTAGCTTAATATCGCCCAAAGGGAACAATCTTTTGAATCTTAAACAGAAAAAAACCCAGCAGGTTCCAACATTCCCTATCCAGTATTCCTGGCTAGAAAAGGCTTGACAGTCTTATAATGTTTTTTCCCATCTGAACATGCATCAAATTGTATCCTAAATATGTCATTAGAAACTTGCATGACTTTTAAAAAATGCATCAGCGTAGAGCAATTTTCTTTAGAACTGCAGAGCACATGGAGGGGTTTCAAACTTCATTCCCCTCTGAGATCCCACTGAAAATTTATTAACTCTCCAAAAAACAATCAAACCGGCAATACCCTTAAAAAGCACACATTAGTGCTAAAAAGGCCTTTCATATTGATTTTCTGCATCCATTTAAATTTAATTCAATCATTTAAAATAAACACACAGACACACACACTGGATGATAAAACCATAACACTTCATTAAGAGACTGCCAGTTCAATTCTGGTTTTATAAGAATGGAATGAGCCAGAATCAAGATTTAGTGACACAGCTGATCCCACTTTCTGGGTGGTCAAATCTGCGCCCTTGGTACTTACATCGATTGGCACACTGTCATAGAGACGCTTGCCAATCACGGTCTTCCCCTGAATGTCGATATTTTCTCTGTCTTCGATAGGCAGTGTCTGAACCAGTTGGCAGTCGATGTACAGGGAGACACTCTGAGACTGGATGCTCAGCGCGATCTTATGCCAGTTACGGTCAAACAGGTCGCTGACACGGCCGTTCCGAAAGACCACTCTCACGGCGTCCTTGGTGAGTCCAATCGCGTTGTACTCCAAGGCCTTGTTTTCACCATCCAGGCGGATAGAGACCTTTAAAAGCAAGCACAAGGTGGTAGGTACACAGCTGTCTAAGGCAGTTGTGGACTGTAAGGACCACAGGTAAGTTCTCTTGCATCTGGCCAAGGCTGCCTCGGAGATGCCCTCAAATCCAGCAAAAGGATGAATCGGCTCCTCCCATTGCCTCTTTCTAGTGACTGGTGCACAGTAGCCCCCTGTCTCTGAGCATTTAGACCAGGGGTCTCAAATGCAACTTACCTGGGGGCCGCTGGAAGTAGAGTCTGGGTGAGGCTGGGCCACATCAAGTATTCCACTCCCGCGGCGGTGGTGGGCCGCTCATCCCGCGTGGCTCCCGGAGGCCGGCCCGGGCGCCACCGGTGCTTTGAAGGCTGCAGGGCCCCTCCCCCATGCCCAGCCCGTCCCGGCAATTGGCCCATGGGCCGCGAGTTTGAGACCCCTGATTTAGACTAATGGCTCATCACTGCTGATAGACAGATCTTGCATCGTGAATGTATCCAGTCAAGACACAGTAGTGCTCACATCTTGCAGCACTGAGTCATTGATAGAATTAGATGTTGCATGAAAGGGTGATTCCTCTCTTTGCCCTGAATTACTGCTAATCCATTTCTCTGGGCGGGAAACATCTCTCTTCGCTTTCTCCATACCATACAACATGTTTTGACCTCTACCATAGAAATATTTTCTGTAAACTAAAACAAAACAAACAAACAACTAATGTCTTTTGGGAAAGTACTCTCTGGGAAGGTGGTACAGGGATAAAAAGAACATCCCAAAGCCTTGTGTTTGTCCAATCAATTATTTTTAGGTTAGGTTATTCATTTCCTTATTTAGTTTTTCTGCCCATCCCTTTCCTGTGCAAAGTTACCCCGGAGACTTTTTGACACCATGGGCTTCAGTTTTCTTGTCCTTCACTGATTCCCGGATTTCTAGAATGCCCGGCATCCAGGGGCCATTTCTTTCTCCTGTTTTCCATTTCTTTTTCCCATCAGTGCCTAAAATGAGGGCAGCAAGCATTGATCTCACACATCAGATACTGCCACATCTTCACATGGCATTGCAGGATGCAAATCAGAATGAGGACCGTGCTTTTTGTACTCATTTGGAGGAGCAGGAGGAGGAGGAGATCAGGAAAAAAACATAGCTGCTACCAGCAGCCAGAGAGTGCCATGATGCTGGTAACAAGTCTCCTTCTGCCTTTGCTTTCATCCAACCTTGTAAATGCCTGAAATGAGCCCTCCCACTACCACATAGCTTGTGAGTGAGGTGCTCAGAAAGGAAGGGGAAGGGAGTTAAGTTCAGCTTGAAAAGGTCTCCATGCATGCACAATGCAACGAAATGGACCTTCGACGGCTTTGTCCCTCAGAGGACTATCGCAGGGATTAACATGGTCCAATCCACGGTGTGTGGAATTTGGTGGTGAGCTGTTCTGGAGGTGGAAAGGGGGCCAACGGAGCTTGAATGCACGTGGGATTAATCCCCTCCCTGCCTGCATTGTTTCTGTCCATCATGAGCAGCCACCAACTTTCATGCTTCAGTTTTTCCTGAGATGACTCCTGTGGCACTGGAGTGCCGACTGGGGCATGGGGTTCAGTGGTCCCTCCTGCCTTATAGTGATCATCCACTGATATGTGGCACCAGTAAGGCAGCCAAGCACCTGGAAGAATATTCATTCTTACTTGGACCCATATAAGTTGCTGCCTGAAGTGGGGCTGAACTGGGACACCCTTCACCTGCCATGTTGGCTCTGGATGCCCCAGACAGGCACCCACTTCCTGCCTTCTTCACCTTGCCCCACTTCCATGGTGCCACCTGGAACTGGTGAATCCAACATGCTGCGAGACAGGATGAGCCCTGGATCCTATAACCCAGTAAAATGATCCTTCACTTCCCTCTCCATCATGCCGCTCGTGTTTCCAAGACAAATGCTACTGAGCACAATGGCCTGCCTACCTGCTTGCTTTTTAAAAAATAAGCTCTAGAATGCTATTAATTATCATGGAAAAGCCAGCACAAGGTGAGTAGAACAGTGCAATCAACTGGAAAAGATTTCTCGAGCCCCTCAGGCTCAGGCGGAAAGTCCTACCTGAGGAATGCCGTATTTGTCAATGATCTGCCAAATATACCAGTCTTCTCGCCGGGAAGTCTTGCGGAACTTGAAAGTGGTTATGAAGGCATATTCATCAGGGAGGCCTTGTGGGAAGACATCTCTGGGGGAAGGGAAGAAAAAGATGTGAGAAACAGCCATGCAGCACTTTGTCCATGGATTGAGATGCTCTATGAGAGCTATTGAGGCCCTTAAATGTGAGCAAATGTTAGTTAAACAAAATCCATGCATGAAACACTAGCTGGAATTAAATTTGCATGAGTATCAACTTTCCAAAAGATATCAGAACAGTGCTGAAATAGTTCTTCCATCCCATTTCACTACCCCTTTGCCGGACATCAAAGTCGTCAATGGGTGGGATAATGTAGCAATCTGGGAGGGAAACAAAGTCTTTGCATTCACTCATCCGGACACGTTTTCAAAGTTCCTTCCGGCCTTTCCTGTCCAACAAGACTTCCTTCTTCTAACAAACAAGTGGAACCAGTGAGGAAATGCGAGTGGCCCTGCTGAAGCTTCTGCCCTCTTCCAGGGGCCAATGTTCTACTCTCCATTTTCCATTTCCCCACAATACTCAGTGGGTGCTCATGGGTAATGACCATGCTTGGTTTTCACTGAGCAACTGGGGGAGTCCTCTGTCTAAGCACTTCTTCACACCTGCTAATTCATCTCCTTCAAGTTCACTAACCATCAACACAAGGGCAGAATAAGGGAAACCGAAGAAGCAAAATTAAAAACAAACAAGCCATAGGGAACATCTATAAGGCTGCAGCAGCAGAGTGGGAGAATGTGAGAGGTGCTTTGAGAATGTTCAGCATAACTCAGCTCTACATCTGAGGGCATCTTTGTATTCTGCTCAGTTGGGCAGCCAGGAGCAAGTGAATCATGGCCAACCAAAATTCTGCAGCTTCTGCCTACTCCTTTCCTCGAAGGACCCTTCTCTCGTTATGGAGAAAGGGATTGCTTGATCTTGATTCAAATTCCAGAACCTGGATGCTTGCAGACTTGCTATGCTGGCTGCCAAACTGCTTGGAGCATACTGAGATGCCATGCCCAGATCAACCACCGGGGATGTTAAAACATATTGCTTTGGCTGCCATCACAGTGGCTGGCAGCACGGAGTGGAAAGTGAGCAGTTGAAATGGATGTGCCCAACAGAAGGAGGAAATGGCAGTGGCTGCAAAGTGCCCGGGGCCATGAAGATGCAGTTCTCCCGTTGGATGCAAAGAAGCCCGGCTGTGGCTGTTGGCATCCACAACCGAGGGCTCATGTGCACACAAAATTCACAAAGGACTGCTGCCCTGCCGTAAACCTGTACAGTGTAAATCCAGAATTATGGGAGCCCACAACTCGTAGAAATGACTGACAGTCACCTGCCACATAAAACGCCTCATATTTCTTAACTCTAGCGGCTAGCAGAAAAATAGGACATTCGGGAAATTAGGCAGCTACAGTTATGTGCTTTCAATTCAGTAGCTGATGGCCACAACAAGCCGCTGCAGTGAGTTACCATGATGGGGTGGTTGTTCCACAGAACACCCACGATAAGCCCAAAAATGCTTTGGGTACTTGGGTGTTTTTGGATGCTTATCATGGGTGATTTCAGCTTGCCTATTCAGTGCCCAGAATCTTACATCAGCTTGTTTGTAAGTTAATTTCAACACTTCGAGCTTAATCACCACTATGTTTCCCATTGGTATTTATTTCTTTTATGCCTACTTATCAGTAACCTCAATGGGATGGTCTGCAAGGCCAGGTGGTGGGGGGGGGGCAAAAATGCCCTGCAGACCTTCCACAGTTGCCAACCCCCTCCATAAAGGCAAGCTCAAAGGAAGAGGAGTGACTCACTCTGTTCTTTGCACAATGGGGAAGCTTCCGAGGCGAACATAGGAGCTGTGAATCCCATTGTCCTTCATGCCAAAGATCTCCCGCACACTGAATTGTTCCATCAGGTCAAAGCCTGCCAAAAACAAAAACATGAAGAAGGAGACAAAGCCGAAGAGTTTCTTGAAGTTATGAGAACAAAGGAGTCCAGATCAGGTTTTCTGACCTCCTTTTCACAACCTAGATGTAATACGGAGGGATGTGATCTCATATTTCCATATGTGCTTGTCAAAGAAGATTCTTAGAAAGGTCCAACAGGCATGCTTCTAACTCTTTCAAGATTTTCAAGAAGCTGATTGGAGTGCCTTTTCACGAACAATATTTTAAACCAAACTCATAAAACGTTGGATGAGTCTTTAAGTCTCTGCCCAGCAAAAGCTGTTCTCCAAGGTCATCCTACCAGTCTTGAAGATGCAGCTGACCTGGCTCTTTCCAAATCTGAAGGCCCAGCTTTGACTTCTGAGCAAATTTCCAAGGTTGGAGCTAGGACTCTAAACAATCCATGGTTTCCTTTAGAATTATGCTGCCCAGTGCCTAAATTAAAATACTTTGTCTTTACACCCTTCCTAAATTACAGGAAACTGGAGCCAATCCTTGTTTTAAGAAACTAACTGCAGCTCCTGGAGAATGCAGACATCCACATTTGGAAAGGAGAAAAGTCTCCCTTTCTTTCAACCTATGCCTTTGGTGATACAAGCAAAGGTGACCAATTTTCCTGTGCATGTTCTTTCTATGCATTGACAATCTCTACATAAACATGGATTTCTAGGTATTTTAACCACAGCTATCAGATCATTCAATGTGATCGTGATGTCTCTCTAAGAAAACACTGTACTTTCCCCACCACAGCCTTAAGTTTCCCTGCAAAATAACATTCGGGGGAAAGAAATGGAAATCGGCAAAGAACCCTTGTTGTCACTAGGGGTTTGTGCTCTGCCTGCCTTTCATTTCTTGAGCAGTTGGGGTTCATCCAAGTGAATTCAGGGCTTGCTATTGTTGGGAAAATCCAGATAAATCTTTGTAGAGAAACGTTCCTTATGTGTGCCTTTCTGATGCAAAATCATTCTGCAGTGCCCTTGCTCCCCCTGCCTGGAAAGAACTAGAGCTTTTGGCCAAGCCCCACATTACTGGAAAAAGCAGGCAGTCCTGGGTCTTAGCTATTCATGTATTTCCTCACAGAATCGGATGTGCCAGGCCAGCTTCCTTTGCAATGTAAAATTACCTAGATCTCTAATTGCAAAAACCACATTTTAAACCTGTTAGATTTCTGTAACTCCTGCTTATTTTTGTTTTCTCTTACCCAAACCTGATGTTTTTCCTGATGCCTATAACAATTTCTCAGTGCTTCTGTATTATTCCTTGATGCCCCTGCCTTCTTACCTATTCGGAATGCCTTGAAATGGTGTACATGACTCACAATGTATAAAAAAAGCTCCTTCTGTGCTGCAGAAGCTTGTAGTTGGTTTGTGTACCTCTACCCAGCAATGCAGTTTTAAGGTTTGTCCCTGCAGAGAGTTTTTTGCTGGGTGTGCCTACAAATAAAACTGCTAAGGTTCATGAAAAAAACATCTCCCTGTGGATCCAAGCATACATTCTCACAGGCTGCAAAATAGGAATCCCCAAACACTAGCCTAAGATAAGTGAATATATGAGGTACAACAATTTACACAAACCTTTGTGTTAAGAACGTATATGTTGGACTAAACTCCAACTATCTCCCAGTAGGATTGCTAGAAGTTATAGTCCAAATCAGCTTGAAGGCATCAGATGGGGGAAGACTGGAATAAAACATGGCACCAGTATAATGCATGTGTACTTATCTTTGGACAACAAGCCCTGTAGTCACTTTGATAAACTCCAGTTGTTTGAGAAATGGAGGGAAAGAATGGAGTAAATGCCTGCTGAGATCAAGGTTTAGGAAAGTTTTCTTCAGAGGTTCTTCTGCCTGGACTTTTGCTTAAGCTGTCTTCATCTATCCCTGACCAAACCAAATCAATACTACTCGGCACAGGAGAAGGTGCAAAACTTGTGATTGCATTTCTATTACAGGTTGCAGTAACTGTCTTGCAGGCATTTGATTCTTGGAGCTTTTTTCGATCCATTTTCAATCAGGAGATGTAATAAGGCATTTCTTTCTGCCCTGGGCCCTTCACTGCATGAAAAACCTGGAAACAACTTCAATTGGAACATGTCCTGGCATGGTGTCTTTGTTCCCAGTCATTCTTGTAAACGGAAAACAATGTATTAGTTACTACTACTTTGAAAGTTCTAAGAAAGAGGCTAATAAATAAAACAGCACAGCTTTCCTATACCAGCTCAACAGTAGCATTTGTGAATTGCTGATTTGCCAGGGCAAAAGTCTGTTGCTGACTTGGAGAAGCCAAAAGAAGAGAAGAGGTTCAGGATGGCACCTTTGGGGACTTAGCAGCAGTGTTCCAATGCCTGGATCAAAATTCCTCTGCCATCATGGAGAAAGGTGTTTGGAGAAGAAGGGAGTGTCATTCTGACAGAGCAGGGAATATTCACCAGAAGCAAACATGTTGAATCAGTCTATGGTCCAGATCAAGCATAAATGTTATAAACACAAATTAGAAACAGAAACACATTTACACAGAGGTATATGCTAAACTTGTAACAGAAAGCCACCTTAACGGTTTTCAAAATACATTAAAAGTTTATGCATCATTTCGAACTTTAGATGCTTAACTCATTATGTGACTAATTGGATCAGACACTTTTCCTTGCTATTTTTCTGTAACTCAGTATTTTGACAGCAAAGAAAGTCAGTCTTTGAGTCACAAATTAGATCCTTGAAGGATGTACAGAAAGGTGGTATTTTAAGATCTCATCAGCCCTTTATGGTGCTGTTGCTGAAATCAAATTATTATTATTATTATAACATTTCTATGCCGCCCCTTGCCGAAATGTGGGAATATGAGAGAAACCAATACTGAGATTGGTCAGGCCCGGGCTGAAAATGAGGAGAAATGAGATGCAACCGTGTCTGTCTCCTTGAGTATCACTGGACTGCTTGATCCTTCTTGCCAATATAAAATACACAGAACCCTCTGCAAATTCTAAACTTAGCTGGTGACTCATAGGCATCTTTGGAATCCAATCCTCTTGTCTGCCAGCCGCAGGTCAACAGAAAGAGGCACTGACATGCAGCCATCTCTGGCTATAATTACAGGCTCTTAGTTTTTACAGACAGCCCTGGATTCCCTGGGTGCAAAGCCTAGCCATCTCACAACAAGCTATAAATAAGAGGCAAGCCATAGAGGCAGATGGCTTGTTTTCTCGTTTGTCTTCAGATTGCAGATTTGAAGGCAGCGTATCACATTGAGAAAACTGTACAGCGGAAATGACACATTGACACGATGAAACTAGACTAAAAACCACACACCTTCTTCCCTGGCATGGTAGCCCCCCATGCCTCTTGGAAGTGGCACTGGTTGGGCAAAACAAAACACGTATCCCAGAAATTCTTTAATTTGAATAATGTGGGTGCTTGCCATGGAATGTTGCATGGGTGGGCAGGAGGTAAAATAGGTTGTATTTTTATATAGCACTCTGTACACACAGTTCTCCCTTGAGAAGCTTGCCAACAATGGAATGTGAAGCCCTTTTTGGTGGCTGTGCTCACCAATAGAAAACCTGATATCCAGCAGAAATGTCTTTGGGGAATGGGAGTCCTCTATGGACAGAGGTATTCAGCAAAAGCTACTAGTCCCCATGCCTCTGTGTTATCTCCAGTAGCAGAAGAAGAATGCCTGTGTGTGCCAGTTGCTGGGGAACAAGGGCTACGGGGTACTGTTGCACTCCTGACCTTCTTATGGAATCCTGTAGACAGCTGTTTGGCTATTGTATGAACAAAGGGCCCTTGGCTGATGGACCCTTGGTGGATCCAGTATGGCCTTTATGTTCTTATATTCTGTGTGGACTCCTTCCCCCCATAAAATCTTCCACTATTCAGCCTCATAATCTTAGATATTTCTGGAAGCTCAGTAGGGCATCTTGGGTCTGTGGACCGACTGTGCAAGTTGGAATTGTATCAGTCAATGCACAGCCAAACATCTGTGCCATCTAGCATTGGTTTCCATGTTAAGCACATTCAGATGTGTAACACAATGTATGTGGGATGAACCTTCTTAAGGAATCCCATTCCTGATAGGATTTTTCAAATATTTACCCATCCAGCCTATGTTTTTCCCCTCTGACTCACTTGTGCAAGAATTCCTATCAACATTTTTTTTAAACTCTAATGGAAAATAAATCAGACAGTAAGAAATTTGGGAGAGTTGCCTTCAGAACAACAACATCTGGGCAAGAAATTGAACGTGCCAGATTATGATGGCATTCCCAGTCAGTGGTCATTATCATGAGGCAGCCATCATTAAAAATAATAGCAGAAAATTCAAGGGACAACACCCATGCACGACTGAGCCATGCTTTCATAGTTCCTTGCATCAGAAGATAATTTCCATGGCATGCTGTGAGCATTTTCAGTGTCAAGTATTATTATATTTATATGCAAATAGCCCCACATTGCTTTACACTTGCAATAGAAATAACAGAAAATGTAAAAGTTTCTTTTATAATAGGAAACACAATCAGGTGCTAATCTAAATCAGGGCTCCAATTCCATCCAAAGCCAGCATGTTCTGATATCTTGAAGCATAGCCTAAAATGTTTGTATGGGATGAGTCCTATTATCTTGATGCCATATGTACTAACAGCAAACTCATCTTCCAAATCTAGATCCTGAACAAAACCAAAATGGAAAGAAGCATACACAGCTGGAAGCTGTCAACAAAATATGGAAGGGGTGTGTGTGTGTGTGTGTGAGAGAGAGAGAGAGAGAGAGAGAGAAGATTTGGTATAACAATATTTAGAGGGGAAACACAAAGCAGGTGGAGAACCAAGAACAGCTGAATGAGAATTATGCATATTCAGGAGCCACCAAATTTCATTGCATTTCTTTAGTTATTATATTTATTCTCCATCTTTCTCCCATTGTGGAACTCTAAGTGGGCTCCCCTCCAAGCTCAGGCCAGTCCTAGACCTGCTAACTTCCACACGGTGGATTCTGATGTGCCTTCAGACTCACACTACAAAACCGGCAGCTCTATATACAAGAAAAAAAGAACACGTCTGACTGAGTGCTGGGCATGGTCCTGATCACATGGGATCATTTGTTGCAGATACTACAGGTATGTTTCAAAACAGATATCGCAAATTTAAGGCAAATTTGTCTGTCCGCACATGAATCGAAGGAATTGAGATAGCATGCCAGTGACCAACAATTCAAGCAAATGCCAGTCATTCCTTTCTGGATGTCCCACTTTAGGAATTTTAGTGGAGGCAACCAAATATTAAGGCTAGTGGAATTTCTCAGGGGGATTTTCAGATTCCTTCCTCTGATGTCCCCTGAAGAAGAAAGAAAAGCAAAATGTCTGGAAGATGTTGTGTGTGTTTTGGGTGGGTGGAATAAAAAAAAAAATAATGAATCAACCTCCTTCAACACCATTATTTAGTGCTCTGCTTAAAAATGGAATGGAATGTTCCTTCATTTTTTATATACCACCTCTGGCATTCTACTGACATTCTGCTTGGAACTAGCACCACTAATAAATGCTGTATTACAACATTTGTGGGGGGAAATGCAAAGACAAATGGTAGCTCTCTTTTCTATTCCATTTTCCCCAGTTTTGACATTGATCTCTTGCGAGGATTTCAGCCTGAGTCATGACTGGGCCCTGCTTTGCTTGTTAAGCTGCAGTCCGTCTGTGCATTGGATGGAAAACACTGGAGTATGTTAAATTGGCCTGGGGCATGCTGTACAGAGCTTGGTCGTTAACACTGACTCAGACTTCTTATTATGGATTCTTCTATTTATTCAATAAAAGAATAATAGGAGGAACTTTGGAGAACAATGTGTTTTGATTTGCCTCAACTTTAGCTCCGTTATACAGTCCCTACTTGGTGCGAAGTACAAAATCAAAGGGAGAGTTCAGTGGCCACTCCAAGAAAATCACATATTTATTTACTTATTCACACTGCATTCATCTCCCAAATTATAATGGCTTTGTGTGGGTCTACTCTTTGAGACTAAACAGGATCTGAATCTCCATAAGCAGACTGCTACCTCCAATTCAGCTCTCTCTCTCTCTTTCTCTCTCAGCAATTCCTCCCTCTAATTACTGCAACTTTTTAAAAAGTATTTACATTTTAGATATGCAAAGACAAACAAGTGAGTCCCAGGTTAAATCAAGCCAGAATTTTCCCTAGAAGCAGAACTGACAATACAGAGGCTGACGTGCTCTGGCCACATCATGAGATGGCAAGACTGCCTGGAGAAGACAATCACGCTGGGGAAAGTCAAAGGCAGGAGATGAAAGGGAAGACCAAATAGGAGATGGACCATAAGGGAAGTCACAGTCTTGAACGTGGGAGAGCTGGATGGAGCTGCCATGGACAAAGCACTTTGGAGGACTTTCACTCAAAGTGTTGCCATAAGTCAAAGATGACATAACAATTATTGGGGGTGTAAAAGCGTCTGAATTAATTACTGAATGTGAAATGTTCAGTCACTTTTGTTAAATATAAACCAAAGGCATACAGTTTAATAATTTAACCTCTTTATCACCCAATAGCCAAAAACAATCTCCTCTCTGCATGGTTTACAACCATCCCTAAACTGGTCCATGATACAATAAAAACAACCATAAAAATATTTCATCATTTGTGTGTGTGCGTTTGTGTGCTAGATTTCTATCCCTTTCTTAGAGGAATTCACAACAGCTTCCATAATTTTCTTCCTCCACCTCTCAATCCTATCCTTGCAACAACAACCCTGTGAGGTAGGCTGGGACAGGCCCAGTGTTACCCATTTGGCCCCATGGCTGAGCGGGAACTAGAACCCAGATCACCGAAGTCGCCCAAGTCCCAGTCCTGCACTCTTAACCCTGCTGGCTCTCTATTCACCTGCGTCCACCAGTGATTGCCCATCTTTTTCATGCTCTTTCAACAATACTGTGACTCAGCAGGGACACCTTGGTTTAAGTAGAATTGAAGTATATGGATGGAAGAAATATACAATTACGCAAAACATTCATTAGCTAGTAATAACTCTAAGCATAACCGTAAATGGTATTATTGGAGAAAAAGGATGCTGGCACAGAAACTACCAGGGGGGAAAGGTTTCAGAAAAGATCAGAAAATATAATACAGGAAGGAAATAGAAAGCTATTCTGCCACAATGGTAAACCCATGAGAATTCTCTGTGCTCTAATTTGCCAGTGGCTTCCAGTTCCCCTGTTTTTCCCATGCCTACCCAATCATGCAGGAAATGTTCTCCCCTCAAAATATTTGGATTAGCAATAGACGTATCTTCAATCAGCTCTGAGAAAAATCCATACTGACATCATAGGGTACTATAATCTGCTAGATAAAACCTTTGTGTTGCTCTTACATAAACCTCTCCTTCGACCTGTTTCAAGAAATAATTCCATACTGGCTTGTATCACATCCATTTGATACACACTGTGCCATAAAGTTCAGTCCCACTTTATTTAAAAGGACCCCAGAAAACAACAGGAATGTCTTGCAAATAGCATCACATTACCTGGAATGTCGTCTGTTCCTCCTCTGGTGTGTTTGAATCTGTCTCCTTCAACGCGGACACTGGGGCAAAGCACATCTGAAAGGAACAAATGCAAAATAATAAAGGTTTGGTTAAAAATCAAGTGAGCATTGAGACTTCCCTTAAGTGGAAATTTCCCTTATTTGATTCAGCATTTTCTTCCACTCTAATTAATTCAGAGCAAACTCTGAATGCTCTGCGTAAACTCCGAGTAAACTCAGCGTTTGTTTGTTTACACTGGGAGAAAGCAAATATTCAAGATAAAAAAATAGTCCTGTAGTATTTAACCTTCTGCCATGACCTACATCTTCCATTTTCTCTTCTGTACATAGGCTTTGAGTGACACCCCATTGGTATATCTTAGCAATTGTCTGTTGATCACCCAGCTGAGTAAAGCCAGCCCATTATTGTACTGCCATGTTGGAGAGCAATATAAGAAGTTTTGACCTGCTATAACATGAGCATTCATGGGGAATAAAGGGGCAAATCTTGGCATACTATCGGCTAGGTTTCATTTTAGTGAAACAGGACTGCAGAGCCAGAATTCTTCAAACAGGCAATTTGGGGCGGCCATCAGCTTCACAGTCTACATATGAGCTGCCTTTTTTATGTGTATGGCTGAAAACCCCAACAGAACATTCGACTGCATGGGCTTTAACCAGATTGAGAAAGAGTATACCCTTTATCACCATGTCTTCTCATCTCAGTACAACAGTCTCTTCCTGTCAAGCCAGAGAATCATTGTAGTTTTCCCAGATAAATAGCCAATTTTATATCTCTAAAGCAAATGGTTTAGAAATGCCCAAGCATTCTGATGAGTGATGAGAAAAGTTAACCAACTGTATTTCCTAACAGCGGCTAGTTGGTCACCCTGTGAACAGGATGTGAAATGAGAAAGACCTTTGGCCTGATCCAGAGTGATTCTTTGTATATTCTTAACCATGTTCTTATCTGTACTTCATGGACCCCAAGCTTAATTTTCTCAAACTTTAATGAATGGGAAAGGGATGGGTCAGAGGTTAGTTCTTTGTGCTTAATTGATCGTTCTGGCCCTGCGCTCTTAGCATCATTTTCACGTAACCCCTCCATACTGTCAGCCTTTCCTTCTAATACAAGCAGCAAAGGGATCCAGTGTTTTATTTTAGCTGTTCATTGTGTCTCTTTCTTTCATTGCAAAAAGGCTTTCTTCAGCACGGTGGTTATCCAGCCAATAAAATAACTCTGCCACAAAGTAGCTGGCTATAGGCCTTCCCCAAATCAGAGAAGTCATGTCCAGGTAGGTCAGCTGGAGCTGAGAAATCAATTCAGCTGTCAGAAGACCTCTGGGTATGACATGACACCAAATTGCCCCACATTCTGTAGATGGATAAATTCACCTCAGGGCTACCTGGAGGGATGTTCTCAGAGCATTTCCCCAGAGGTGAAACATAAATGGAGTGGTTGCCATTTTGTCAAGCAATATCCTAAATGCTAAGCTACTTAGTACCATATTTGTGTGGGAAGATAGGACATTTTATTTATTTATTTATTTATTTATTTATTTATAAAATTTGTATGCCGTCCAATTACTTAAGTCTCTGGGTGGCTTACAGCATAAATAAATTGATGACCCACTCTGGCTGCAAGTTAATAAAATGCAATAATAAAATTCAATATTAAAGCATATTAAAATATTGATTAAATAGAAAGGTCTTGACCTGGCACTGAAAAACATATAATGACAGTGCCAGGCAGACCTCTCTGGGGAGCACATTCCATCATTTGGATGCCACCACAAAGGCCCTTCTCCGGTTACTCTGTCTCCTAATGTCTTTCACAGAGGGTTCCTGGAGGAGGGCTTCTGTTGCTGATCTCAGGGGGTGGGAGGGCAAGTAGGGAAAAAGGCATTCCTTTAGGTTTGCTTTTCTCTGTAGGACAGAAGCTCTGCTAGCAATCATGGTGGTACAGATGAGGAAAGCTGCTATTCCAGGGCAAGCAACAAGGATATTCTGGCTATAGATCCTGTTGTATATGTGGCAGAATGCCTCCAAACTGAATGTGTAACATAACCAAGTTGAACAAAGAACATTGATGCAGGGAAGGCAGAAGCCCCTGTATCTCTAAGCCCACTTCGAATGCATACAAAAACCCCTTCTTAGTCTACTCAGCTGCTGGCTAAGCTTTATCTCTAAGAGGTGTGGACAATTTATAGGCCTCCAGATGTTTTGGCCCGCAATTCCCAGTGGCTCAAAAATAACCATTAGTGAGTGATTACAGAGGTTGTAGGGCAAAACATCTGGAGCATCAAAAGTTACCCACCCCTAGTATATAACTAGGTGAGTCTGAAATACAAGAGTAGGTAGGAAGGTAGTTGGCAATGCTGAAACCTGCATCATGGCTCCAAGTTATAGCCCAGGAATGGATCAGGAGGGTCTTTAACTATTTGCACCATGTCTTTCTTTTTTCCTAAGGCACTGTGCTGATCTTTTTGCTGGCGTTGCGAGGAGAAACAGCAGCAAATGTAATGGCGGAATTTCTAGCATTTTACTGTCTCTACCACACGCCATTCTGGAATACTTCTTATTATAAACCATCCTGAGATGCCAGGGTAAAAATAATTTAAAAAATAAATAAAGTTAAAAACAAGACCTTGGAGAGACATTGGAGGCTTCCACAAAATAACTTTCTGCGAAAGTGAACTTTTTCAGGGACACGGTGGTAAGAACAAGCAGCATCACGGTAGTTTTATATAAAAAGCAGTAGTATTCTGGAAGAATTTGTCTAAACTCTGATTCAGACCGACATACACTAAACTCATGAAATCCTTATACTATATGCAACAGTAGGAACAAAGAAAGACCATGGAACACATCCCTTTTGCCTCTTTTGGATGGTGGATCTTACCTTCCTTCATCCCTAAGTGTTTTTGGAACTTCTCTATGAGACCACCCTCAAAGTTTCCATGTATTTTACATGAGTGATTGCAAACCCTTCCCTGGATCTTCCAGCTGGAGAGCAATTCATAGAATTAGAGCTATTACCAAATCAGACAAACATTTGTGTGGTTAGTCACCATGCTGGAAGGAGCTGCAGGAACAGGCGACAAATCCGGCAATGCTAAGAGACTGGCTGTCTTCTCCTTTTCCAATCCTGTTTCCCCCTCCTAGGTTTTCATCACTGCTGTTTAGCAAGATTTTCCTTTCCTAGGGGTGCTCAGAGCAATTTGTGTTGCATTACCACATTCAGTATGGAACATGGCTTGAAACCTATTAAGGTCAACCTCACATTGGACCTTTAAAATCCACTCACACCTTAGTGGCATGAGGCATGCTTGCTTCATTTACCCCAATATAAAACGTGAAGGAGAAACATGCAAATCCAAATAACTGATGACACATGGAAAAATAGAAATGCATCTCCCACACTTTTCAAGGACTGAACCTCCACATAATTTATTTGCAAATTAAACTTGATTCTGGTTTTTGTGAAAAGTCTGAGAGAATACTGTTTTTCTGGGAAAATCCCTCTTAAGTTATGCTTGATCTTCACCCCCAGAAAAATAAATAATTATTACACTTATCTGTTGGTGGATCTCTTACTCTTCACATCTTAAGAAGCTCTCATTGTCTACGTTCAAATACTCGTAATATGTTACATCTGGACAACCAACATGGACATGGAGGTTCTTGGTAGGCTCTCAACCTTCCCATCTTTATATGGGGAATGCAGTGAGAAATGCATATCTGAACTATGAGTCCTAAGTAGACCGATATCCCCATGGAGCAATGGAGCAAACCAATGCAGTCCACAAGGCCCACAGCTGCATCAGTATCTGGGAGGCATGCATTTCTGAGATGGTCCACAAGCAGGCAACAAACTGGTCAGCAAGGCCACTGTTATCATCAAGAACCCTGCCAAAGGTATGCAGCTTCCACCACATAAAGAAAAACTCAAAGCTTGCCTTGTATGAAGTCTATGGAAGGCCACTGCAGCAACCCTTGCCAAGGTCAAAACCATAACATTGTTAGGGGACTTTGGTAGCTTGTATGGAGTCCTTGGTGGGCCACTAATCAGAAAACCTTTAGTGGGCCACTTAAGTTGAGAAGAGGATCCTAACAATGCAGACATAAACATGCTCATTCAGAAGTACATCCCAGAGAGTTCACTAGGATAATTTCCAAATAGGGCTGTGTAGGATCATATCTTAAATGAAATTAAAATCTTCTTCATCATCCCTAAGGATAGACAAACCAATCTGTTTCCAGTCTATACATTTTCTACGTGTTCACCAATAAGTCTATTTTATCTGGGTTTTGCATTGTTCTGCATTTTCAAAAAAAAATGGTATTCAAATTTTCACATATATTTTCTCTCATAATTTAGTGTAATTATTATCTTTGAATCATGAACTGTATTAGAGCATTTTGGAAAGGGAAGTTGAATTTGTTGTTGCAATCACCAAGGGTATATTTGGTCACAGAGGTTGTCTTCAGTTGGACTGATGAAGGAAATAACAGAATTAGGCTGCAATCCTATTTCCACTACTCTGGGCATATGGCTCCTGCACTCAATGGGACTTTCTTCTGATTAGGCATTTCTACTATTGTTAACCTCCAGCCCAATGAAGCATCTTGGAGACCTCCATATTTTCCTCACTGTTCTGCCTTTTTCCCCTTCCCAGTTTTTCTTTTCTGTGCATTTTGGAATTTTCTCTATGGCTTCCTTGGAATTTTCTATGCATGCTGGAACTCTCTTTAAAAGTTAGTTCACTAATTTCCATATGGCTAGGTGGCCAAAATAGAAAGTTAGAAGAACTAATATAGAATTAAACAAGGAATTTCCAGCTTGCACTATTTTCTATTACATTGCACCATCTCCCCGGAGATGACATTGTGTTGGGTACTTAGCATCCTGAAAGGAAAGCCAGCAAACCAGAAGTCCAAGTGAATGGTCTACTTTGATGGGACGTATGTATTTCCATCCCCACCCATACCCTATATAAGTGTCCTAGTACAACTCTTGCAGCATATGCCAGCATTCTGAAACCACATTTACCAACTCCAGTTTCCTAACTATGA